CCGGTAATTTTTCAAAATAAAACATCTTTCGTATTCCGAAATAAATAAAACGGAAATAAGGCAAGTTCTTTCTGTGCGGCCCGGTACCAAATGCCCTGCGGACCGGTACCGGTCCGCGGACCGGCGGTTGGGGACCCCTGCTGTAGAGCAGGGGGGCCCAACCTTTTTTGACCAAAGCGCTATTTTTCGATCAACCAGCCTCACGCGATCGACCCATGACTGCACATGCACACAAACGCACACACTTACACACGCCTGCCATAATGAGCAACAGCCAGAACGGCGGCTAAGATGAACGAAATACGGGACACACTTTTGCAGCGTGTTAACTTTCGTAGCTGACGTTACCGTTTTAAAATGCTTTTCTCGGTCCTTCTGATTGCCATGCTTTGCCAGTTCCCTCGGTGAATTGGACATGAAACGCCGTTTCTTCTTACAACAGCCACCTGCCTGGCATACCGCTTTGCTAATAGAAACGTGTGTCGCAGGCTATGACGCAAATTTTCGTTGACAGAAATGTTGAAATGTAATATTTATTCGACATATTTTTACAGTATTGGAAAATGTTAAAAATGTTTGTCCTACAGAAACCATATTCAAACAAAAAATATATTTCCACTCCCCCATCTTTTTCCATTTTCAAACATTTTAAAAAGCTCCAGGGAGCCATTAGGCGGCGCTAAAGAGCCGCATGCGGCTCCGGAGCCGCGTGTTGCCGACCCCCGCCCTAGAGGGATAACCCAGGACACACTGAACAGACTCTGTCTCCCGGCTGGCCTGTGAAGACCTGGATGAAGTGGCTGGGGATTAGGAAGTCTAGGCTTCCCTGCTCTTGCCCCGCGACCCAGATAAGTGGTAAAGAATGGATGGATGGAAAATACACAAGTGATGTACCACTTCAGAAAGTTTATGGAAAAGGTTCATGTAATGATTGTTTGACTGTAATTATGAACGACCATGACTTTTGTGAAATATCTTGGCTCTTGAATTACAGTGCTAAAATCTCTTTTGTGTGGAACTCAATTATACCCCTGTCTCTAGATCAAATCTGAGGGTGGCCCGCAGGCTCAGTCCAATGTTCTGTTTTCTCTCACGAATGAGGACATCGCCTCTGTAAACCGCATCGGTCACGTCAAGGGTATGACTACTGGTAACGTCACGGTGACGGGACTCATCCAAGTTGTCGATGCTGAAACGGGCAAGCTGGTTGTTGTGTCAAAGGTAAAAAAAATAAAATAAAAAATAAGATGGGGTAATGCAGGTGAGTTTTCTTCGAACAGATGCAATTGCTAATGGCAGTCCTGTGTTTTTTTAGGATCAAGTGGAAGTTGAGGTTGTGCGTTTGACTGCCATTCGAATTCAAGCACCCAATATACGAATCAAGGCGGGAGCGCAGGTACAGCCTTGTGAATGTACATTTTAAGTAAATACTGTTTCCAATGAAACAAAAATTTGGAGAAGATGATTGGCATTGGCCCTTGTTGCATCTTGTTTCCTTCTGTAGATGCCTGTGTATGTGATGGGTTTGACCAATAGTCAAACACCCTTCACATTTGCTAATGCTCTGCCAGGACTTAGCTTCCACTGGTCCACTACCAAAAAGGACATCGTGGATGTGCAGTCGAGATACTCTGTGGTATGCGTCTCTTTCGCAATTCCTTTTATCAGGCTGACTTGCAGCATGCTGACTCTGCATTTACTGAAGTAGCTACCTTCACTGTTCTACCCCCATTCACGTTTTACTTGATTTGCTCTTGTAAAATCTCAGGCTAACGTGGCGCTTAACTCGGAGTACAATTTCGGCATGAGTGTGACTGGTCAGACAAGAGGGCAGACTGGGCTCAAGGTTGTCCTCAGAGTTCTCGACCCTGGTTTTGGTCAACTTGGTGGTAATCTTCCAGACCTCGAAGATGAGGTCCAAATTCAGGTACAACTCTAAAAATGGTCTTGTATTTAGATTTGACACAAATATGAGCTAATCACCACAGTGAACCAACCCTATGCTCTGCTGCCTCTTTCCAAATCAACCGTCAGAAACAGCAGAGCAGTGAAGTTATTTGTCTGTGAAATATTATGAAGGGATAAGAGTGTATATTCAAGACCAATGCACTCAACTTTACAGTGTGTCAGACTCCGACGTGTCACTTGTGCCCTAACAAAGATGTTGCCATGACGTTTGCCTCAAGGTCTATGACAAAGTGCACATGATTAATCCCAAAGTCGAGGCCGAAGAGATTCTCATGACTCCAAACTCAGTCCTCAAACTTCACACAAACAGGTTAATTCAATTTGCATGTTGATCTTGTTGCTCAATGAAATGCTGAGACAAACTGATTTGTAATTATTGTATTGTCTTGTGTACTAGAGATGATGTGGATGCGCTGTCATACCGTATGCTGGATGACGCTGACCAGGTTGCTATCGCTCAAGTTGATGAAAAGGGCTTCCTCCACTCTGGGTCAATCACTGGCACGTCACTACTGCTCGTTACTTTACAAGAGTCTTTTGGTGTCAATCAGACTCTCATCATTGCAGTCAAGGTCAGTTTGAGAGGGTTCCTGTGACCTGTTTCGTGTAAACGTTTTCGGTGACCAAATTTTCACCACTTCTTGCTGACTCTGCATTTACTGAAGTAGCTACCTTCACTGTTCTACCCCCATTCACGTTTTACTTGATTTGCTCTTGTAAAATCTCAGGCTAACGTGGCGCTTAACTCGGAGTACAATTTCGGCATGAGTGTGACTGGTCAGACAAGAGGGCAGACTGGGCTCAAGGTTGTCCTCAGAGTTCTCGACCCTGGTTTTGGTCAACTTGGTGGTAATCTTCCAGACCTCGAAGATGAGGTCCAAATTCAGGTACAACTCTAAAAATGGTCTTGTATTTAGATTTGACACAAATATGAGCTAATCACCACAGTGAACCAACCCTATGCTCTGCTGCCTCTTTCCAAATCAACCGTCAGAAACAGCAGAGCAGTGAAGTTATTTGTCTGTGAAATATTATGAAGGGATAAGAGTGTATATTCAAGACCAATGCACTCAACTTTACAGTGTGTCAGACTCCGACGTGTCACTTGTGCCCTAACAAAGATGTTGTCATGACGTTTGCCTCAAGGTCTATGACAAAGTGCACATGATTAATCCCAAAGTCGAGGCCGAAGAGATTCTCATGACTCCAAACTCAGTCCTCAAACTTCACACAAACAGGTTAATTCAATTTGCATGTTGATCTTGTTGCTCAATGAAATGCTGAGACAAACTGATTTGTAATTATTGTATTGTCTTGTGTACTAGAGATGATGTGGATGCGCTGTCATACCGTATGCTGGATGACGCTGACCAGGTTGCTATCGCTCAAGTTGATGAAAAGGGCTTCCTCCACTCTGGGTCAATCACTGGCACGTCACTACTGCTCGTTACTTTACAAGAGTCTTTTGGTGTCAATCAGACTCTCATCATTGCAGTCAAGGTCAGTTTGAGAGGGTTCCTGTGACCTGTTTCGTGTAAACGTTTTCGGTGACCAAATTTTCACCACTTCTCTAATCCAGAAAAAAGAATTATACTGCAGCAAGTGGACTAATTCCTCAAATAGTGGTCATCCATAATACGAGACGCCTTGCCCCAGTTCGTTGCCACCCACTTTTGCAAATAAATACATCCCATGCTTTCATAATAACCCGAGTTTATAAGTTTATAAATAAGTATTAATGAAATAGTCAAATGATCTTAAAAAGAATGTCATCAATTATGTTTTTCAGTTTTGTCAAGATGGTGTCTTTGATGGTGTTTCCTATTCCAATGTGCATCCACGTTTATGTTCAAGGGAGCTTTGTAGGCCGTCTGCTCTGTGATAAACAGTTGTACAAAGTCTTGAGTTGACATTGTCCCTGAAGGCAACACTGCCCTCCTCAGCCACCATCCTCATCCCTCAGGTGGTGCCGGTGTCCTATATGCGCTTCAGTACCAGTCCAGCGTTACATACATACACAAAGGAGAGCCTGAAAGCCCTCCCTTTGGGCATAGTCCTCACCTTCACCGTTTATTTTCACGCCAGCACTGGAGAGGTCTTGCACAGCTCCAACAGCCATCTCACCTTCTCCACTAACAGGTCAGTTTCCACTCTCCCTGTCGTTGCTCGTGAAAACTTTTGTGCTCGTAGCTGAGGAGTGGTGTGCCAAAAGCCACAAGTCGCTCAAACGTGTTTGCTTGATGAGTCTGTTGTACGATGCCAAATGCCAACAACTTTGGATAATTAACATACAGTCAAACCTCGGTTTTTGAACGTCTCGGTTCTTGGCCAATTCGGTTTTCGACCAAAAATTTTGATTTTTTTATGCCTCGGATGACGAACAAATTTCGGTTCTCGAACAAACTGAGCACACTTGAATGCACCATTTGACTCCTCTCGCCTTCCTTACACGAGGAAGTGACGCTTCCTCGGGTAGACGTGGAAGCAACGCTTCCTCGTGTTGCTTTCCATTGTGAGCAGACGTGTTCAGTAAACATTTTTATTTTAAAAAGAGCGTGGTTTCGGTTTTCGAACAATTTCAGTTTTCGAACAGCCTTCTGGAACGGATTATGGACGAAAACCGAGGTTTGACTGTAATTTTCTTTCCAAATGAGGCGGCCTGGTGGTCCAGTGGTTCGCGCGTCGACCTCACAGTGCAGAGGTACCAGGTTCAGTTCCAGCTCCGGCCTCCCTGTGTGGAGTTTGCATGTTCTCCCCGGGACTGCGTGGGCTTTCTCCGGGTACTCCGGGTTCCTCCCACATTCCAAAAACATGCATGGCAGGCCGATTGAACACCCGAAATTGTGTGGATGTGAGCGCGGATGGTTGTTAGTTTCTGTGTGCCCTGCGATTGGCTGCCAACCGGTTCAGGGTGTCCCCCGCCTACTGCCCGAAGACAGCTGGGATATGCTCGAGCACGCCCCGCGACCCTTGTGAGGATAAGCAGATCGGAAAATGGATGGATGGATTTCTTTCGAAATGTCTATTAGCGAAACATGTTAATTAATGATTCACTTAGTCAAATCGTCACTCTCAATCTTGAATGCCATTCACCGCACCGAAACCATGCACACTTGCAGGCCAGGAGGGATAGGGATTGCTGGTCGGATTTGATCTTGCACAAATGCTTCTGCATCTCTGCGCTATGTTTGAGGGGACTCGGCGTCTTCTCAAGTGCACCTCGACAGCAGACAGGATGGAAATTGTGTCTCTCAAACAACTTTTTTAAAAATTTGTGTTTACACAGCAGATTTTGAGACTGAGTTGCTGTCTCCCCAATCTGTGGCCTAAATTATCCATTATTCAAAGAATCATGCCAATTTCATTGAAAAACATGCTTGAACATCATGAGTTTGGGTGATCGTATTGATACCTTGCTACCTTTTGTAAAAAAAAAAAAAAAGCACCAACAAAAGTTAATTATATTTCAGTTGCTAGTTTGGGTCTTGATATGTCAGTAAATTGGCAAAAATGCTGATGTTCGCTTTCCAGTGTAAAAGCAGATGTTTGCAAATTTGTATTTGGGTTTGGCACAAAGATTTTGAGTCTGCTCTCATGCAGGACTCCAGAAATCTGAGAATATTTAAACCTGTTGGTTCGGTCTGAAATTCTGTGGTCTTGGACAGTCTAAAATTAAACAAGGTCTCTAAACAATTAGTAGGTTGATGAAAAACAATTTTCACCTAATTTGATAATCGACTAGTTGTCGATTAATCATTGCGCCATCTTCATGTGTAATTTCCAAAAGGCAATCAAGCCAAAATATTGACAATTCAATGCTGGAGCTGTGAGCAGTTAGACATTTCTCACACAAATTCTAACAATGCTCTGTGCGTTCTGAAGTCGGCAAATTAACATTTCAACACTGCCAATATGGTTTGGATTCATGAGGCAGATGCGCCTTGTAATTCACTACGTTAATTTACTCGGCTGTTCCCTCTCCATGGTTTCAAACACAAGGAGTTCAGTTGTGGTGTGAGTGACTTCAATGAGTATGAGTGTTTGGCACGGAAGGAAAGTCTGCGAGGGCCTCCTCATCATTCTTCGCGACAAATTAATTCTGTTACAGTGCACTCAAGATGCTGACATTCACTTTGAGGGGAAACCAATCAAAATCGGTGTCATACAAGGCTGAGACTCCACAGACAAAAAGAATAGGCTGTGTTTAATTGTTCTAAAATCTCCAAGAGACACTCAGATATTTCATCTGGGAGTTCGATGCTCTTTCGGTGGAGTCAGACGGCAACACCTGTTTAGGAAAGCAGTATCTGCAAAATTGAAACGCTTCACTGCTTGTTTATTTTCACATATTACTGGCCACAGTATTTGGTCGGATTTTTGATTTGAGATTACCAATGGAAGATTTCTATGCCAAATACAATCGACAGCAGCAGTTTTTTGAGCTTTGTCATGCTTCATATGCGAACTGCTTCGGAGTTTAACTCCTATCAAATCAGAGCACCAATACGAACAGCGTGTCGAAATATGCTGCGGTATCTGCTTTATCACCAGTATAATCATGACTTTCTTTCTTTTTCGTGCGTAAAATTTGAATCATGGTTAATGGTCAAAAAAGAAAAAGAAAAACTTGGACAAGCCAGCACATTTTTTTAATGGCTGTTTTGTTCCTGTCTGTCAGGGCTGACCTGGTGCAGGTCGGGTTTGGGCCAAGTAACCATACTATGATAGTCCGGACCGTCAACACTGGTCTCACACTGCTGTCTGTGCACGACAGTGAAAACACTGTTGTGGCAGACTACATTCCGCTTCCTGTGGAGCATGCCATCCAGCCAGAAGAGGCCCAGAGGCTGGTGGTGGGAGACGTCATTTGCTTTACTGCTCAGCTGGACAGTGAAGACGGTGAGAAACTTTGTGAATGTAAATATGTAAACTCCCCTGAACAGTTTTAGTTTTACCATCTGGGGCAACTTTTTCAATCTCCTCTGCAGGAGGCCACGGTATTTGGAGCTCCTCAGCCAATGCCATACTCCAGGTCGACTCCAAAACTGGTGCGGCTGTAGCCAGAAACTCTGGGGCAGCTACTGTGTACTATGAGATACCGGGTGTTTTGAAAACATACATAGAGGTAATGCAAGTCGTCTTGATGCACCATAGCAACTTATATTAATTCATCTGATATAATTCACTGAAATACCAAATGCCAAATTGGCGAGATTTATTTATTTATTGCTTCAGGTTGTCAGTTGTGATGAAAGAGATTCTGTCTGAACAATGCATGGTGAACTCCGGAGTGTGACACAAGGGGCAGAATTTGGACACCGAAGCAGACATGACACATGAGTGGCAAAGTAAAGTGTTTATATACGAAACTACACGCCAAAGTCACCCAACAGGTGGTGATCGGTACCAACAAAGTAACAGCATAGAATGCTCGACTAAGAACCATGTAAGGGTATTAGACGTTCTGGAACCAGACCTAAAATGTCAAAGGGCACCAGATCACGTCCAACCCACTGACAAAATAAAGGGTCAAAGCAGTGCCTCAACACTCTGGTTGCTTTTTCACTGTCACCCCACTTTTCTTTTCCAGAGACTTTTGATGATTTCTGTCATTGCGTCCCATTTAGTGTATTTCCCCGAAGATGAATCTAACCTGAATATTTATACAGATACTGTATCTCTTATTTTATGTATTATCAAACCATGAGGTGTTACTTTTTTCAAATTTGCATCTGACCCTAGCAAAATTGAGAAGGTTGTGATTGCTAATTGTATTCATTGATTGTTTTTCTCCTGAATGTTAGGTTGTGGTGGAATCAGCTACCAACACAGCTGCAAAAGCACAACAAGACTTACCAGTGGAAACTGGCAAGCAGACTGAAGTCTTTCTCACGACCAGAGGACAAGGAACCAACCTCATCGGTACTGAAAGGACTCAATTTTAGTCCACCTTTTGTCACTACTCATGCCGATAATCACTAAATCACCACACAAAAATGAAAATTATAACTTCATATGATCAGTACCTAATTAAGCGGGGTCCAACGACAAAACCATTGGTGTCCCCTGGTTTGACAAAACCATTGGTGTCCCCTGGTTTAATGCAAAAAAGTACATTCTTAGGCCGAATAACATTTTTCATCATTGGACATTGAAACTGTTGCTGTTTGTCCACTGAATTGGTTTGCTTTTCATTCCTCAACCCAAAACCGAGCACCGTTGTTACACATGTTCATAGAACCTTGAAGGCCACTTGCTCAGGTGAGGAACTAAGCATAAGCATGGTAGAGTGTTAATGTGAAAACCCGCACAATACTGCTCTCCAATGTGAGCCCTCATACTTGATAAAATGAAATACACGTACCAACTTCCCTCACTTTGCTGTGTAAGCCCTCAATTTCAATTCAAATAGATATCGAACAGTGAAGCGTATTAAATCTCTCACTCAAATCCTACCTGCACAGCTCCTTCCGCCTTCCCGTCCTTCCTCTAATTCATGTAACCACGGTGTTGATTGTCGGCCTTCGCTTATGCCACTGTAATGTATCCTGCAGGAACCTGCTCCTCTTTCCAGACCGAAGCCGTTGCGCAACTGCAGCCAGAAACCTCTGTCGCTTGCCACCTGAGCTTTACCAACGATGCTGTTGATTTCCCAGCAAGCAGCGTCTTTAAAACGCACACCAGCTTTGACACCAGCAGTGGTACGTCTTATCTGACTTGATATTCCTGTGGAAACATCCAAAGACCCCCCCCCACCCACCCCCCAGCCACGTGGGTCTGTAATGAGCTCGAGAATGCATTTTTCATCACTCAATTTTTGATTTGTCAATGTTCGTTCATTTTAAACCCCACTATTAATTTCTGGAATATGAAAAACAATTCTATCACATCAACTTACATTTATGGAAATATATTTATAGGTCTAGTAATGACGAATTCCATGTTTTGCCATTATTTTTTTTCTGCTACGGAAACTCAAAGGAGACAAACTTAACTGTTTCGACATCTTGACTGCAGCATGTGCAACAAATGTAATGCACTCATTCACTTCAGGTAGGTCGTTTGCAACGACATATGCTTGCACCTCTGCGGAAGAAATTGGGGATGGGCTTGCGAAGTGTGCTCTTGCTGAGGAACCGTAGTGCGCATGCTTTGAAGTGCATGCCCTTTTGAACTTAGGTCATTGCATTCTATTGGTTCACCATCCGATGGCAATTGCATTTGACACGCTGTCCCTTTAACATTAAGCAGGTCAGTCAAGTTGAGAACCAGTTCTCATTTACAGTGATAACCCTGGCAAGAGACAGGCAATTTTACTACCTTGTGTGTCATAATTCAATTTAAAAAAAAAAAGAAGAAAATCTGAGGCTTCAATGTCCCCTCAGTCATACTGCGTCTGATAACTTTGACTTGAGGGCTCTGTCGAACAAGGTTGCCATGAACCAAACTTGTGCTATGTGCTCCATGTGAAGGTGAAAGGTAAGTACTGCTTACAGTCTATAATCAGTATTTGCGTGGCCCAAGGAGTGTTTTTAACGTTGCCCATAAAAGGCACCATGTTGTAAGTATTGAGCTCCAAAGGCTCCCTCATGCTTGAAAGCTTGTCTCATTGTGTTTCGGACCCCTCGGAGGGAATCCACAGCCTGGTCAATGAGGCACCCACTTTGCTCATTCCAACCGAGTGCTCATGGGAACATGTGACCAAATTACTTTTCACTTAGAAATTCAGAGATGAGAGCAGATCAGAAATTGATGCGCTATCTAAAGTATTATGATCCCACTTGGAGGATTATAACTGCCTTTTTTCAACTGTAATTTAATAATACATTATTTGGCATCATTCTGTCACCCTCAGCCTCCCGTTTCCTTTTTGTCCTTGCCATAGGCTTCTACACGTGTTCCGTGACCTTGCAGCCAACGGCAGACCAACTGACCAGAGTTGCGAGCATGACCTTGAGTAACCTGCTGGTGAAGGCTGCCCTGGAGGGCAGCGCTTTCTCGGGGGAGCAGGTCAGCGCCAGACTGCCAATAGAGCCCGGCATGTACTCGGACCGAACTGAGCTGACGCTCTCAAACCTGCGTCCAACTGCGGAGCTCACAGTCTTTGTTCCAGCTGCTGCCCAAGCAGACATGGAGGTTAGGGGCAATCGTGGTTTTCAGAAAAATAACGATGCCCTGGTCTGTGTGAGGAAATCGAATCGAATGAAATATCTTTGTTTTTCTTAGGTGGTCTCCAATTCTCCCGTCATTGGTATTCAAAAGGCCGAGGCACAGTCCGACTTCCCAAGTCTGTCCAAGTACACCATCAGGGCTTTGGACCTCCGAGCAGCCGGCTCTGCTTCCATTACCATCAGCAGTGCCTCCTCGGGTCAGAGTCTCATCATCCCGGTCACTTTGATACACGTGGCTGAGCTTGGTGCAAACACACAAGGTCAGTTTTCCTCTGCGGGTTCATGGGAAGTCACAATAAGGTTGCCTCTTGAAAATGTTTGATGCAGAGGAATAACTCAATTAGTTTTGATTCCTATATGACTCGCATAAGTAAATTCTTAAATATATTGTGCAGATGACATGGTTGGGTGCTTGCCCCATTGCTTGTTCTCCCTCTTAGTGACCAACTGCTGTTATCAAGCCAAGAGATGCCAAGTGTGCTGGTTGGGCCTCTATTTTATTTTATTTTATTTTTTTACCGGTACGGGCACGTTCCATTTTTCCTCATAGGTCAAAGATGTTCTAGAAATGACGAGTCGACACGCGCGGTAGATTAACTTGAAGTTTGCAAGTGAGTCTGCAAGTGCAGGGGCTTGTGCCTGGCTGACACAAGATTTAGAGCTACTCGCCAACCGATCCTTTTCATCAAGAGCTGCACAATAAATGTTCTGAAAATGACATTGTATCTCAAATAACTTTTAAGATTTACATTATACCTTGTTTTGCTTTTTGGAAATGAATTGAACTTTGCAAAATGGCTGTAAACCTGACACTACTTGTAATGTTATATATATGTGCAACCAACGCGCACATATTTTTCTTTGACGAATATTATATATATATATATATATATATATATATATAAAGGTGTATAAATAGATAAGTACAGTACACATAAGTACTTGATGAGATCTGTATTGTGTTGTTTTGAAACAACATTTCTGTAAGTAATTTGTAACTGTTACCAGGCCTTGGAAAACATTTAGTCTGTGATTTCATCCTGCTCTCTTCCCGAGCAGATGCTCTTCCACATGTAAAAGTGGAAGAGGGCCGTGCTTACCACCTGATGCTGTTCTTCACGTTTGCCCTGCTCGCCTTGTCATCCATCGTCTTCCTCGGTAGGGTGCCAGTTACTCCAGTACTACAATATCGGTCTCATCTGGACCTGTTTATCGTCATTGTAACACACCAGTACTGTATGGACTTGTTTTATAGCCTTTTGTGTGCAGATTCCCGCACCCTTTCTATTTGAGCGCTCACCTGAGGCTCACACTTTCATTTTTGAAATTTGTTGTGAGATTTATTTCAAAGAGTGGCTTTGTCGGTTTCTTTTTACCAATGTGAGGTGGTAGTTTTTGTGTGTGGACAGAAAATTTTAAGAAGCGAACTTATCATAACAGTACATTTCAAAGCTTGGGATTGAATGCCCTTTTCAACATCTTATTTCTATGGTACCCTACATATGTACACGACACATTGTTTATAGTTTTAGCGATGGGAGAATTTCTGGTGGGCTACTTTGTGGCAGTCTCCCCACCATACATCTTCTGTTTTCCGGTTTGAATGCGGTGATTCTCAGCTCTTCACTTTTGTTCCGTTTTTGTTCGGGTGGTTCTGTTTGTGACCAACAGATGGCACTGTAGGTCTCCTCCTGCAGCGGCACACCTGCTGGTCATTTTGTCATTAGTTCGTGTTTTGTTAAAAGGACTCCCTGCCCAACCAGTCTGTGTCAGATCATTGTTGCTGTTGTGTGTTTCTCTGTGCATATGTCATGTTTTGTTTTCCGTCTTAGGTTTTTTTTTTTTTTTGCTACTTTGGTTTCCTGTGATTTTCTGGACTTTATTTGAGTGAGTTTTTGAGTTAGTTTCTCCTGTGTACTTCTGTTTGCATTTTTGTTCAATACATCTCGGTCAGCCACCCTGCCTCCCTGCTTTTTTGGGTCCTCCCACCAACTACCAACATGCAAAACGTAATAGTTTTGTCTCCCGCAGTTGTCCACGAGCTGTGCCATCGCAAGCAGCAGCCGCACCCCTACTCTTTCATCATCAGGAGGCCTCCGCCTGGTAGGACACACTCAGAATGATAGTTCCTGTCAGAAAAAACAATGACTGAATACAGTTGCAAGAAAAAGTATCTAAGCTCTTTGGAATTGCCCGGGTTTCTGATTAACTCCAGGATCAAATGCAATCTGACCTTCATCACATGTCCCGAAAACAGACTTATACTCTGATGAAACGAATACCATATTCACAATTATCTTTTCATGGGTAAAACACACATCCATTTTGATTTTTCCAAAAGCATTTCCCGATGGGGAAAAATGCCTCACAAAAAAAGGGGGGGGGGGGCCTCTCAGCATACCTACGATTTAGAATTAATAACTTGCCTCAAGCTGGAAGGCATTTAATATGGTAACTTTTAAAAGCTGTGATGTTGGTCAGTCCATGCTAAGCTGAATGGTGTAGAAATGGAGAAAGTTCAGCACCTTTGCTCCTCTGGGCTAGGAGTGATCGTCCTGCAAAGATAACCACAAGAGCACAGTGATGCTGCTGCAGTCAAACAAACGTGTCCGTGCTTTCTCAGCCACTTTAACTGAGTAGGTGTCTGTCGACAAGTCAGTCTTGTTATAAATTAACACCAGAAGTACAAGAGCCGTCATGTTGACGGTTTTCAAACTTAGATGTGTTCTGACTCTGCGTGTATAGAGATACAATGCTTCTGGCCTCTTGACTTTTCCTAATCCTCCGTATATTGCATTCCCATGGTGCAATTTTATGGTATGAAGCAATATAAATGAGTCATTATTCCTTCATACAAGACGCAGAATGTCTCCTTTCACCAGTGGATCAGAGACGTCATGCTCAAAACGTGCATAACTTGCCACATGTCGACTACAAGCTCAGTTTGAAAGTAAACCAGAAGCAGTCGCATCCATTGACGATCAAAGAATTTGGTTCACTTCCATCAAATTTAGCTGGGCTTCACTCCTGAGCGGCGACTCTCAGTTCCAAATACGCATCAGCGCTCTGCGCTAACGCTCCTCTCTCGTCATCCTCCACTCCAACAGCCATTCATCCAAGAGCACCAATGCAGTCTGTCCAACAGTGCTGACATATCTGCTGAACAAAAGGGGACTGTGAAAAATGCTGACCATTACAGGTGCAAAAAACACCAGCGGCGACAGTCAAATCACGCCGGCATTGCCCCCATCAAAATCAATGCTGGTCCACCATGCATCATGCCGAGGAGGCGCAACCAAGACGCACATCTTCCTCTTTGACGAATGTTGTGGAAACAGTCCACAACGGGTCCACACGAAGGATAACAAACACCATATGCCAAAACAAAAGACAAAACTACAGGAAAAAACAAAAACAACTACAAAACCAGGGCGCCTGTCAATTTGACAGCTCTACTTCATTTTACGCAAGGTGCCACTGGGTTTCCATACCAACCAGTGGCTGCATTGAGAAATGCTGTTGGTCACCATGATCTAAAAAAAAAAATCTAGAGGAATCGAGAAAGCATTACCTCTGCTTCAAAATATTGTCGAGTCTGAGGATGACTTCCTCGACTGACACACAGCGTCTTGAGTAAAAAAAGTCACCCTGCCCTGGCAGAGCCATGTTTCGTCTTGTAAAAAAACAAAAAAAGGGCTGTTAGATGAGAGCTTGTGTGATGCTTGCTGAAAGCATTCCTTTGTGGAATAAAAAAGAGATGCAGAGTGCGCTCGGGACAGAGTTGTTTTTTGCGCCATACTTATGATTTTGTTCCTCTCCGAAGTGAAGTGCAATCAAATCTTTTGCCACACGCGTCTCCTTTCATTCGGCAGTAAACTAATTTTTACATTACTCATGACTATTTCTCACAGCTGAAGCGCACGCAGAGCGAAAGCCGCGTGGGACAATAGGCACCCCACCAACTGTTGCTGATTCATTAATGACATAAATGACATGAAATACTCACAAAATAATTCTAAAAAACAAGATACCTTTATTAGACGTGAGCGAGTAATTATCGTTTTAGATGATGGTGTCACAGTCAGAGCGCAACAGAGCACCATCCGTCAAACTGACAGCTCTAGTCGGCCTCAAAATCCCGGTAGTCCAAGCGTTAAGCACTTCTGCGAATTGAATCTGCTAATTTTACCCAGCGCATGCTTTCTAACCTTTTCTCATCTGAGAAGTACCTTTGAATTTACCTGCACCCCTCCTGGCTCTTTCCTCAGCCCCAGATTCCATCAACCGCCCCTACTACCCTACACCCCGGTGCGATGCAAACAGCAGCTTCAGGTTGCGTCTCTATTCTACAAGACACTGACGAAGCCCTCAGCACCCCTCCTGTCCCATAGACGGTCGTCACTGAATGCACCTCATCCGCCTCAGAATGAAAGCTGTTGGATGTGACTGCAAAATTGTTGCATCTTAATATTGGTACACTTACACTTACGCACCTGTGCAAGCAGGTATTTATAGCAGTGTGTGTGTGTGTGTGTGTGTGTGTGTGTGTGTGTGTGTGTGTGTGTGTGTATAAACCCACACACACACACACACATACATATGAGAGAGTTTTCATGGCAGAGCGTACCTGTCCGGCCCTCTTGAGGTGTTCTGTGTGTGTGTGTGTGTGTGTGTGTGTATAAACCAAAGTTTCTTCAGCTGAATTGTCCTTGTGCTGTTATTGGCCGGCTCCTGTTTTTCAAGACCTTGTATTGAGAATGTCTTTTTTTTTTCCCTGCCTCACTTTGGTTCATTGTGTTAATTTGCCTCTTCAAATAAAAGTGATTCATCAAAATTCAGCCTTTGAGTTGTCAAAGGGCAGCCATTCAATGTTAGAAATAGGGTGAACAAAGTACAATTGAGCTCAATTCGCAATTGAGCTTATCGATCAATGACACATTTTGAACATCCCAATGATCATTTGGCTTTTCCACATGGTGGTTCCTTGGCACCTGGATCAATTGCCACATGTCAGCAAGTTCCATACACAATCTTGAGTAGAAGAGTAACATTTTAATGTTTATCACATGGCGCATAGAAAATGTATCATTCATATTTTGTTTTTTTTCTTACAATTATTTTATTGACTCAAGAGCTTTTGGCAAATGACAAGTCAGTGAATGCTCTTTTTGGACAGAGATTCCGCATGCTTGCGCAGCTGACATGAAATACTTAATATTTTCTGCACCAGCTACATTGTTGTGCAATATTTCTCTCTTCCCCGGGGAAGGTGTAAAACCGAAAGCATCAACTCATGCATGGGAGGGCCGTTTATAGGGAAGTTCAGGCATGTAACGCTGGAATAGCCACAACCGAGGCCCAAGGGTATTCTAAGTGTAGTATTATCTCCAAGTGTTGGCTGAATAAACATGCGTGCTGGGCACCCTGTGGCTGTGTACATTGGAAATAACTCACGAGCTGCTTGCATGAGGCTGCTTTTGATTGACTACTCAAATCTCAGTTCAAATGTGAATAAATGCAAATGTGGAAGTGGCAGTTTCCAAATGACTGCTATTTAATGCTTGTGGCATGTTGCTGTGTAAATGTGAGCGTACAATCCAACTAGGACTCATTAAGGCAGTCATTCCCACAAATCACGTTCAGTTTATTCTCTCTGTGAAGGCACATAGTTTGCAGAAAGCCCACCTGTCACCCCATCAAGCTGGAAGCTGTCGAGCGAAATCCGAGGCGAAGGCAAAGTGATGCGGTTAGTTGAAAGGGGATCCATGATGTGGTCTGCGATTGACACCCGACAGGAATGGCAAGGCGGCCACAGGCGCCCCCACGGGATTTTGCCAAATGGTTTTTGGCAAGCAGTTTCTCTATACCAGAGGTCAGAGTTTGCTCTTTTGAATGTAGATTGGGGATGGGCAACTGATGGCCCTTGAGTGGCTCCTTGATTAATTACAAAAAAAAACTTTTTGAACAAATCCCCCAAATTATGATGCTGAAAAACACTATATAGGTTCAATGAAAAACCGAGGAGAAACGACGGGAGGGTGATGTGGTTGTAACCCTGCGAAATCCAGAAAAAGTCCAAAATAATGAAAAAAAATTGAAAAGGCAAATCTGCGAATATGTAAGAAATGACTGTAGTTTTAGGTTGTAATATCAGCAATCACCATTAGATGGTGGGCATTTCTTAGTTGCCCATACGCAGGGTCTTATATTGCCCTATACTACATCATGAGTCGGACTGATATTTTTTGGCAGATTTGGAATGATATGCAGAAGACAGCCCTTGTCATTGGGGGTTGGGAAATCACAGTTTGGTTATTTTGCTCTCTGCTGGGTTTGGATAGTGAATTCTTTTAGACGTGCATTGAGAAAAGTAGTCTGAAAATGCCCGTATTTTTCAAGTGTGCACACCTATTTTGTCCATATTGAAAATGGCCTATTCGCCGTACATCTGGTTAGGAAGTGGGTGGTCCCATGTGCCCCCCCGGTTGCATTGATGAAAAATGGTGGCCTCCAGCATTGAAGTTGCCCACCCGCGATGTCGAGTATCCGAATTGTGATATTGGTGCGTTGTATGTGTAATAAACGGAAGCGAAATGTGGGTCACCGTGTAATCTGTCTTGAGCCATAATGCGCTCAACTCGACCTGCTGTCAGATTCATAAAACTTGTAAACTCCGCCCACTTGACAGCCGGCGTCTGTTTACAGAAAGTCGCGGCGGCGGCTGCGTGGACTTGCCATCCTCGCGGAGTCAGATCACCGCGTCCGCGATAAGCCCGTCACATGTGGCCACCAGCTCATTGTGACGTTGACACTTTTTGTACGTGACCGACAGCCGACAGTGTCGCGACCGGGCTGGCTTCTAAGAACGCCTCGATTCGGGATTCCGCTGTCACAAGCAATGGAGAGGCGTAAAAGGCGCAACAACCCGCCCGAGCGTTGTGCTTGAAGCTCCCCGGCTGGAGCGTCGCCCAAACACACGAGCCGCTTCCTGCGCCACGACGACATGGACAGCCCGGCCGCCGAGAACCCCGGCAGGGCTGCGGAGTATTTGCAAGAGCTCAACAAGATCATCGAGACCCAGCAGGAGCTACTGGAGAGGCAGCGGGCGCGGATCGAGGAGCTTGAGCGGCAAGTGTGCGACTTGTGTACCGAGAACGGCTGCCTGAAGGAGCGCTACCAGCGGCACCTGGCGAGCTGCAGGCTGCTACAGGGCGCCGAGAGCCCGCAGTCGCTCGGGGCCATCCAGGAGCATATCACACATGACAAGTAAGCCTTAAGCCTCTTTGCCTATCGGCTCAAACGTTCACTGCAGCCAACAAAGATAAAGTTGGCCTTCGGTGTTAAAATGGGAGCCAAACTGACTGCCTTGCGTTTTTGGTGGACATTTGTGCTCCAAGTATGCTGTGCTTGCCCCCAGAGAAACTTTTGTTTTCATATTTGGACTGGTCATGGCGTTTGTCGAGCCCCTCGTACAGGCAACAAACAAACAAACACACAAAGCAAAGACGATAAATAAGACAAGATATTTATGTAAGATAACTAAAAAAATCTTAAAATCGTAGGTCTAAAAAAAAAATACCTCAAATGTGCAACATTTTCAGAATAATAAAAACACGTCCAAGTTACAGTACTGAAGAATTGACAAGGGGGTGGTTTAAAACGCCGCATTTTTAAAAGCTGTCCGAAAAGTTTGGTCCAATCGTTACCGAAATTCACATGCACATCATACCCACTTCAACCTCTGCTGAAAATATCAAAATAATCACCACTGTATTTCGGATTTTATGCGTGTCAAAAGGTTTTCTTCCCCATACACACTCAATATAGAAAACAAGCTTAACCTTGTTTAATTGTGGAAAACGACGACCATAGGTGACCAAAATTCTCTGCCGATGCCCACAGCAATCTCTGCAAATATCCAAACTATCTATCGCCACAATATTTTGGATTTTATGGGCATTCACTGTTTTCCTCTCCATAAAAAAAGCTTCACGTCACTTGGTATCAGAAAACTATCATAAAACGTTACCAAAATCAACTTGGGCATTTCTACCTATGCCCCACATCAATCTCAAAAACGATCACACCAATATTTTGCACTTGGTGGACATTAAACATCCTCCTCTCCAAAGGTGCTCACCACAGCTTAAAAGGGAAGTCAACCCAAAAAATGTTCTTTATAATGATAAGTTCTATGGCCCCATTAGTCTAAAATTAATATTGTGTTTGTTGAATATGAATTAAGCCGCAAAGTCCACCCGTTTTTATCCATCTCAGGGGGTGGCCATTTTGTCACCTTCTGTCCACTAAAAAACGACATCACAGTTGCTCAGGTAATGACAAATCACGGCTCAACTTGCAAACGTCATATGACCAAACAGAGAAAACATCTTGTTAAAATAATTTATTGAGATGACTTTCCTGTAATGTCGCTTAATGAGGAAAATCCCAAATACGGTTGCGATTGTTTTGATATTTTTACAAGTTGAAGTGAGGATGAGTAGAGATGTACATGTGAATTTGGGTGACGATTCATAGAAATTTCGTGACACTAAGCAATGTTAAGCTTGTTTCATTTCGACTGTGCCATTGCCAATACACTGGTACACAGTGCAGTGGTGGTGCCCTTTTTTTAAAGAGCTGCTGCTTGCAGGCCTTGGCCTGTGAAATGCAGCCACGATGTCTTCCATATCCAAGGACCTTCGGATCTCGCTTTTGATTGAAATCAGTGCCGGTCCAGTTAGCCTCTCCTAACACACGGACGTGTCATGGCACTATCTACGGAGTTTTCCACTCGTGCTGTTGATATGGACTAATATCAGTCATTTGTTTGGGGTCTCGTACTAGCCAGCAGTAACCGACAGCTAGGGTCAACACAACATGCTGTCTTTGCGGTGCCATATTTTTATCACTAATATGTTAGTTGGCTCTCGGGAGCGCCTTCAGCTTGGGGCCTGAGGCAATTGTCTCTCTTGCTCAGTAGACACTTGGTTAGTGAAGAAATGACAGATTGGTCATTGACACTGGCCACGGGCTATGTGGACACAGACATTTTGAGTGACAGTTGGTATGTGCTACACGCAGCACTAAAGAAACAAATCAAGCCAATGCCATAAAATCCAAGAGAGGTCCTAAAAGTCCATTTCACATGCATGGCCAGTCACATTAATCCATGATATATGGAATGCAAAGGCTGCAACCTCAGGGGGGAAAAAGGAGCATTCTCAGCTCAGATTTGTGATGTAACCAGCAGGGCATTTGAAGAGTGCAAATCTCTCTGCCAAGGTCCATGTAATAGCCTCACAGACATTAATGAAATTGTCCTGAAATGACCACAAAACACAATAGACACTCATGCTCCCCCCTCAGCACTTTTGGATACATCCCGGGAAACCAATGGAAATAAAAAGTGATCAACAGATCAACAGTTTTCATTTTCTACACGCTTGTGCTCAGCCTATCCCCGCTGACTTTGGTGGGAAACGGGGTACGACCTGGACTAGACGTCAACCAAGAGCAGCCACTGGAAAGTGACATTTTTGAATCCGTTAACTTTCAATGAAATTGTGTCCTCCTTTGGTGGCATTTTTGTTTGGTGGCCACGTCTGCAGGCAGCAGCACAGCTATAGACAAGGAGTTTCTATACTGTCAGGTTGAATGTGCCTTTAGCTTCACTCTTGCAGAAGACCTCAGCATTCAGATGTCTGACTTCTCTTCTGACTCTCTGCTAGGTCACATGATCGTTCCTTGACCTTTGTGGCTGGTGTCATGAAGATGCATGACAGCAAATCCATGCCGGTGACAAATGGACATGTTTTTGCTAGCTCATGATACCAGAAGGTGATTGAGCTTTCTGATATGGATCCGATTTTGGTCGCAGTGCAGATTTGTGGCCAACGTTTGTGTCTACCCGTTAAACCGTCAAAACTATTAGACAAAGGTTTTCAAAGACTTTCATTCTATGAAAGTGACCAAATACGAGCACTGCAAATATAGGGTACATTGAAAAAAATCTCATCATCACCAGCATAGCGTGTGCAGTATGCGAATGGCAAAGATAAATATGATAAATACTTGCGTACTTTGTATGCTTTTTATCTGACGTTGACCAATCAGATGCAACCCTAAAAGTGCATCGCCATCCAATAGGAGTACAGTATCTAGGTGCATTGCTCATCCGATTGCTCAGTTTGAATCAATCAATAAATTAATACGGAGAGAGACATTTTGTTAATTTCGTTCAGCCCCAATTTCAGGGGGCCCCCAAAAGACTGAGATCAGGTGACGGGTCCTCCTACATATCAAATGTAAAATTAAACAGCCAAGTAAATATTTTGTGATCTGTTCATTCCTGAAATAGTGTTTGCAAGCGATCTTTTCTGAATTTACAGAACTGCTCTCACACCGAGTTTCTCTTGGCAGCGGGGATGGGTGAAGATCCACTATTTTCAAGTGAGGGCCAGAGTCTTGTCGCAGGACTACATGAAAGCACGATTATATCAACACCAAAAGGTTGGCTATACTTAGTCGAGTTTTGTTGGATGCACAGATTAGCGTTTGCTAACAATGATAAGCGGCACATTTTTGATTGCTCAGTGAAGGTGTTGCCACAGTGGTGGTGTAGGAACGCAAACTATTACTATGCAAAACCAATTATTTGTTCAATATGTTGTTAGAGTATGAAATAATTAGAATCGACATAGGCATCCATCAAAATGTGCAAAAAACTGAACAAGCATCTTGTAATCGGAAAATAGTCGGTTTTATGTAACAGTAAGCTCATATTGTGAGACAAAATGGCTTTTCACCTCTTACATGTATACAACCTCGTAAAGTTGATTATGTAACGATGATCCAAAGTGCTAAAAGCTGAATAGGAAGCAACAACTGTGTTGAGGGCTGGTAAAATGTGAAATAACAAATTTGCTGAAATTACCTTCAGTCTTGTTTGGCGTTAAGATCAGGGGATCTGATTAATATTTGTCAACTGTGTGGGCTTGTGATGCCCGTTGAGACTGTTTTGTGATTAAAAGCGACACAAATACATTTGACTTGAGACGACTTAATAGCCTGTGTCATTGTTAATAGTGTAGTGGTATTCATCTTTCAGACAGACATTGCTCATGTTGATGAATTGTCAGAATAATTAGGAAACAGACAAATCAATAGCCGACACTATTTTCATAAATCTCTGCTAGTGTTCACATTTTTAAATGATCACTTCTAAAACGTTCCTTGGAAATCACAATTTCCTATGCACCATTTCCTATCACTGGTGAGCTCTTTTTACAGCAGCCCCCGGGGCTCCTCATGTGGTCCTCATGGGCCCATGGGCACCTCTTTGGAAGCCCCTGCTGTAACACGCCGCAAAGTGTAACTTATTCTAAGCTCTAACATAGGTGTGGAGTCTTTTTTTTAAACCAGTGAGCAATAAGAAAGCCTACACCACAGTGAGAGAAGGCGCTCCAGAGTAGTGGAGTGTCCTGGTACCAGAGCCCAAATTGTATGATGATGCAAGTTCGACTATAGCTAGTCCAAACTTCCCTGCCTCGCACACCAGCTTGGGCTCCTTCCCTGCCTGAGAGGTGACCATGCAGGTTCCTAGAGTGAGTTTCTGTAGCCGGGCATCGGACCGTCCAGCTCACAGGGCAGCTGACCCCTTTTCCCCTCTCATGGTGCGTGAATCTATTGGAAGAGGCACCCAAGTTGCCTTTTCGGGCTTGCCCAAGCAAGTCCCATGGCTGCAATCCTAGCCACCAGGTGCTCACCAGCAAGCCCCACCTCGTTAGTTAGTTCAGCCATAACCTTGGGCCCCTTGAAAGGTGATCTAAATATGTTATTATTATTATTATTATTATTATTATTTGTTGTTGTTGTTGTTGCTGTTATAGGCCTACTAGCAGTCTAGTGGTGACTAGTAGAAGTGGTTCTATTACACAATTCTCCGACTTAATGCTCCTATTCAAGGCGAGGTTATAGTCTACTAGCTAACTTTAGTGCCTGCCATATTGTTACACCAGAATGTATTTTTCAGTTTTTCTTTTGTGTGTTTATTGTTTTGGGCTGGTCTAAGAGAATTGTGAAGCTAGCTACCTAGCTGGTTTAAAGAAACCATATCAGCGACGCGATGTTGTCTTTAGTGTCCTAGATCACTAATCTATCAAAAGCCAGAGCGGAAATAAAGACCATTTGTGAGGAGGTAATTCATCTTGGAATAGTTGTACATTTGGTTACATTAGGTTAATTGCTTTCAATCCAATAACTAA